TCGGCCGTCTTCGCCGCCTCCGCAGCCTACTGCTGTGGACTCTGGTGCTGCTGCGGGTGGTGACACTGGTGGTGCGGGTTTTGGGGGTGCTGAGACAAGGGGTGCGGGTTCTGGGGGTGCTGCGACTGGAGGTGCTGAGATTGGGGGTACTGGCACTGGGGGTGCTGCGAGTCCTAGTGGCAGTGGATCCGTGGGTGACCCTACTGGAGGTCCTAGAGTTGGACAGCCTAGTCGACTTGAGACGCTCTTGCCTCAGAAGATTCGTGAGTGGATCGTTCAGTGAGGCCATCCTGGTGGTGGAGGTTACGGTGTTATTGCTTCTGGAGCTGCTGGTGCTGGAGGTATTAGAGGAGTTGCTGGTGCTGGAGGTACTAGAGGTACTGCTGGTGCTGGAGGTGCTGAATCTGCTAGTCGTGGAGGTACCGGAGGTGCTGCTGGTGCTGGAGGTGCCGGAGCTACTAGTCCTGGAGGTGCTACTGGTGCTGGAGGAGCTGGAGCTGCTAGTCCTGGAGGTACAGCTAGTGCTGGAGGTGCTGGAGCTGCTGGCACTGGAGGTGCTGGTGCTGCTGGTGCTGGAGGTGCTGGAGGTGCTGCTGGAGCTGGAGGCGCTGAAGCTGGAGGTACTAGAGGTGCTGGAGCTGCTGGTCCTGGAGGTGCTCGTACTGGAGGTGCTGGAGCTGCCGGAGCTGGAGGTGCTGGAGCTGCCGGAGCTGGAGGTGCTGGAGCTGCCGAAGCTGGAGGTGTTGCTGGTGCTGGAGGTGCTGCTGGAGGTGCTGGGGGTACTGGAGTTGCTGGCACTGGAGATGCTGGTGCTACTGGTGCTGGAGCTGCTGGAGCTGCTGGTCCTGGAGGTTCTCGTACTACAGGTAGTGGACCTGCCGGAGCCGGTGGTGCTGCTGGTGCTGGAGGTGCTACTGGAGCTGCTGGTGCTGGAGGTGATAGAGGTGCTACTGGTACTGGATGCGCTTGAGGTGCTACTGGTGCTGGAGGCGCTGGAGTTGGAGGTACTGGAGGTGCTGGAGCTGCTGATCCTAGAGGTGCTTGTACTAGAGGTGCTGGAGCTGCCGGAACTAGTGATGCTGCTAGTGATACTGGTGCTGGAGGTGCTGCTGGTGCTGGAGGCGCTGGAGGTGGAGGTACTAGAGGTGCTGCAGGTGCTGCCGGTGCTGGAGGCGCTGGAGGTGGAGGCAGTGGAGGTACTGGAGCTGCTGACAATTCGAGTACTGCACCGCGCCGACCGTTTTTCTACCCGCAGCCGCAGTCATCCCTTACACCGCCTGACTAAGCCCTTCGCCAGGTTCTTAGTCTCCCGTCATCCACCGACCTCACACCACCTCTCCTGTGCCCACCGACAGACCAGTCTCAACCACAGCTACTACCTGGCTCCTCGCTGCTTGCTCCTGCTTCTTACACTGAGGTGACTGAGTCCTTGACTGAGCGTTGTGAGCCTGAGACTCGTGCTTCCACACCTGTTCGTGCTCGTCGTGTTGTCTGTCCTTGTCCTCTTGCTGTCCCAGGCACTCACGGTATGGCACTTCGTCCTTCCTCTGTTCCACAGCGTGTTGTCCTACCTGAGCCTCCCGCGTCCTCTCTTCCGCACGTTCCTGACCCTGAGTCCGACCTTTCTCGTGCTGCCAGTCCTACGACCACTCGTCTCCTTGCTACTACCGTCACTGACCCTGACTTTGATTCTACTCCTGCGTTTGCCCTTGTCACTGAGCTAGTCGACTATGCAGCTAGGAGTCGTCTCGACTACGTCGCGAGTCTTGTTACTAAGTCCGAGTTTGTCTGTCCTCCGTCCGTCAGGGGTGAGCCTGCCCTTGGCAATGACGTCCTTGAGGACAGGCAGTTTGAGCTTGAGTGTCTTGCGGCCGTTTTACCTCGTTTTGCATCTATGTTGCTTTGCCCCGAGGGAGACCCGGATGCACTTGACATCCCTACCCCGCGCTCTTACACTGAGGCGATCGCGGGTGAGTACTCTTCTCGGTGACATGCAGCCATGGACGCGGAGATGGCTTCTTGGAAGTCCACAGGCACCTATGTCGGCGAGGTTCCTCCTCCTGGGGTAAACATAGTCGATGGCATGTGGATTTTCATAGTGAAGCGGCCGCCGGATTCTCCGCCTGCCTTCAAGGCGCGTTACGTTGCTCGACGCTTCAGTCAGTGACAGGGGGTCAACTACTTCCAGACCTTCTCCCCCACCCCGAAGATGACTACTCTTCGGGTGTTGCTGCACGTTGCAGCACATCGTGAGTACGAGGTGCACTCCCTTGACTTCTCCACATCTTTCTTGCAGAACAGCCTTCACGAGGAGATCTGGTTGCGCCGCCCACCTGGCTTCACTGGGTTGTTTCCTGCGGGTACCCAGTGGAGCCTCCGGCGGCCAGTCTACGGTCTCCGCCAGGCGCCCCGCGAGTGGCACGACACACTGAGGACTACACTTGCAGCTCTTGGGTTTGCTCCTTCCTCTGCCGACCCGTCGTTGTTTCTACGCACCGACACTACCCTGCCGCCGTTCTACGTTCTCGTGTACGTCAACGACTTGGTTTTTGCTACTGCTGACACTGAGGCACCGGCCCTAGTGAAGGTGGAGCTGCAGGAGAGACACACCTGCACTAACCTGGGTGAGCTGCGTAGCTATCTTGGCTTGCAGATCACCCGGGACAGAGCACGGTGCACCATCACACTGGCTCAGTCACACATGGTGCACCAGGTCCTTCGGCGCTTGGGCTTCCAGTACTCTTCACCATAGCCCACTCTTCTGTCTACCGGCCACTTCCTCTCAGCTCCACCTTCGGACGAGTCTGTAGAGCCGAGTGGTCCGTACCCAGAGCTTGTGGGTTGCCTCATGTACCTGATGACGTGCACACGACCTGACCTCGCGTACCCTCTCAGCCTCCTGGCTCGCTACGTGGCTCCTGGTAGACACCGAAAGGTGCACTGGGATGCTGCGAAGTGGGTACTGCGTTACTTGTGCGGTATATCGGGCATGGGGCTCGTGCTTGGAGGACGGGTATTAGTGGTACTTACAGGACACTCTGACGCTTCTTGGGCCGACGACCAGGCGACTCAGCGTTCGTCACAGGGTTACACCTTCAGTCTTGGCTCTGATTCTGTCTCGTGGAGGTCCACTCGTTGTTCTTCTGTGCTTGGTTCCAGCTGTGAGGCCGAGATCTACGCTGGGGCTATGGCTGCACAGGAGCTACGCTGGCTGACCTACGTGCTGACCGATTTGGGGGAGCGGCCTCGTTCTGCTCCGGTTCTGTACGTCGACAACAAGGTCATGCTTGCCTTGTCTCGGGAGCAGAGACTGGAGCACAGAACGAAGCAGATTGCTCTTTGCTACTTTCTTGCTCGAGAGCTGCAGCAGCGTGGTCAGCTTCGCCTTGCAATTAACACTCTGCATGTGAACTGACCTTGTGGCCGCTTGCTTGTGCTCGGAATGAGTGGTGATCTTGAGATCCACCCTGGGCTTTGCATTGCTTTGTTCTCTTGTCTGACTGTTCTTGTGACCGTTTGTTGTGTTGGCTATCCCTCACTTTGCCTAGGGGGGTGTGTCATAACATATTTGTATATTCCTAGTTCTGCTAGCCTACAGTGTGTCAGTAGATCTGCATTGTGGATGCCCGATTGATCCTACGGGGGGGTACATGTGCGTTCGCCTGGGGGGGTATGGGCGCACAAACCCGCTACACAAACAAGCCCTTTTATCCCAATGGTCTAGTGGTTGGGATTCTGATACAGTGAGGTGCTCAGTATATGGTACAACCCCAGCTAGGGTTTCATACTTGTATCTCCCTGTTGCTAGTCACTCATCATTCCTGCACGGATTATTCTGACAGGATGCGCTCTAACATTAGCACAAGAAGCATTTCTGAACCTCGAATGCTGGTATGGATCCGTGGGCTGTCTACGAAGCACAAGATCATGCTAATGTTGTAAACAAAGTAGGGATGGTAAAAATGTACCATAAGCGCATAGGGTGAGGTTCCGAAACAATGCTGTCGTGAGGCTGAATGCAAGGCAAAGACATTCAAATTCCGTAGAATCACGTAGTATAAAGTTTACATTCGGATTTGAACACGGTAGGCCTACACGTGCCATATGATTTTGGTATATATACTGTGCGGTTAGGGCGTGTGTGATTTTTGGAAAACTGTAAAAGTCCGAACTGTAACCGCTTTGCACCGTGGCCACACATCTCTCAAATGTATTCTACCATGTAGAACCATTATAAAAGTTTGAACTTTGGGAAGTTAGAAAAAGAATCACACACGCCCTTATATACATATCTAGGTTCACATAAAACTAGAAGTGTACATGAGATGAGCCGGCGCGGTGAGATTTTGTGGGCGGAAGCTTCTTTCATACTTCATGTTGAGGAAGCTTCTTCTATTTTTCTTCTCTCAGACCAAACCGCCCCTGTCAGTTTGGTTCTGGCCTGGACCAAGCGTGGTCGAGCTCGTGGGCAGCACATGAATTTTGGTTTGGCGGTCCAATCTCACCTCGCCACCGATCGGCTGCTCCAATCATGTCCGCTGAATTGGCTCGTCTTGCTGGTTTGTCGAGCTGGCTAAGCGTCTCGTCAGCGAGCGACTTGATCTGCAGTTCGGAGTCGCCTTACACACCACATATGGCGAAACGGTCCTTTTCGCCACACTGTGACTTTTCCTCGCGTCATGGACGAAGTTTCAACGACGCTCGCATGCGGGTGGCCCGTGTTTTCCCAGCTCAACTCTTGTCCACCATGCTATTGGTTCAGAGAAGGGAGACACACGAACCGCCACGCGCCTCGTCACAAACTTGGGCATGCGATCCGATGCGACCAGACATTTGACCAGTCACTGTCCCAAATTCCAAAGCAAGCAGATTCATTGCTTGGTTCAATTTCCTGAGCAAACTTCCCATTTCACCATTTCACAGTTCGTCAATCCCCCCTTCCACTACTCTCAGCTGGCAGCAGATCCACAAGCCTCGACTTATCCACACCTATACCAAACATGGCTCGCACGCTCCTCATTTGCATGGTGATCGTCCTCCTCGTCGCACCATCCGTTTTCGCCCGCAAACATCCCGACGGCGCTGGTCACCATAACCGCAACGGCACGCGCACTGGAGGACACCACAAGGGCGGCGGGCACCACAAGAGCGGTGGGGCCAGCTCGTCGGGTCTAACCAGCAGCAAGGGCGTCACGGCGGGCAAGACCTGCAAAAAGTCATCGCTGGGATACAAGGCGGCCGTCGATCTCACCGGAAAAGGGTATGTCACCGTCGCCCTGTTTTTTCGTTCGAGTTGTGGATATTCGACATAAAAACCGTTGACCAGCTTTCAAGTTTCCCGTCGAAATTTCGCACGCGATATCTTTCCTAATCCATCGCTTTGACATCAGGGAGACGTCTTTCCATCACGGGGATGAATCATGACGTAGTTCCGTACTAATGCTGTTTTCTCGCCTTTACCCCCGGTTTTCTCAGGCTGCTTTTCCACTGGACGGTCTCTGGCTCGACCCTCAGCGCCGCGATTGAAGCCAAGTCCACCAGCGGCGCCAACAAGGGCTACGTCTCCGTCGGCTTCTCGTCGAACGGGAAAATGTACCCCGCGGACGCGGTCGTGGGCATTAACGGGGGCTCCACTACAGCGTACAAGCTGACCTCGTACAGTTCGTACGCGCCCAGCAAGACTTTATCGTAGACCAGCCTGACAGCGACCTCCAGCAGCCTTGTCGTCAAATTCTCCCGGCCGGCTAAGGGAGGCCTCGTGAACATCAACCTGACAGGCAAGAACAACGTCATCTGGGCGTTCGGGAAGAACAAGAAGTTCGAGGCTCACACTCCGACCGACCGGTGAGTGCCATCCTTCTGAAATCCGCGTGAAGTGACAAAGAATGATGCTGGATTGAGCAATCCAGAAGGGCACGTCGCGAGCAGGTGTTGTAGGTTTTCTATGGCCTCCTTCTGGGCGTCCGAAAGCAGAACTTCTGCTCGGCCGTTGCTTTCTGCCTTCCTCCTCCTTGTCCGACAGCGTTATGCCGTCACGCTCCAGCAGGGTGTGTTCATCATCCCTTTCTTCTCCACCTTCCCATTTCAAGCTCCATGCACATTTACGTTGTTAAGCAACGCGCCTCTGACTCATCTCGATGTGTAGGTGCTAACACGCTAATGCGATGAGGTGAAAGGTTTTATAATGCTAACTACTAGGTTTTTTTTCTCGTTACTCTCCCTGTTCCTTACTCTTTATTCTCCACTCCGTGTTGCCCCTTGTTATTGCAGTGGTTCCAAGTCCGTGGATCTCTCATGCGTCGCCTGAGAATGCTTCATAGCTAGGCATAGGCTGTTGCGCCAAACTCCAGATAATAGCCCACTTTGAGTAGGTGCCCGCCCCATAGCGTAGCGCATGTCGACAGCATGAATGTTGATTGGATGACGATGGTAAGTTCCCACTGCCCATCAGAGTCATCCCTGCACTTGCTATTCACGTAACTTCGTTTGTTATAGATGTGGTGCTTGTTTATCTTCGTTTTGTTCCTTTTAAACGATATACAGTTCCTGCTGGTACACATGACATTCCCAATAGAAGGGCGTGTAACATTGTATCGACCAAGCCTAAAATCCGACCGTATTTGTTGGGTCATGCGAATACAAATCGGTGTAACGTTTGAACGAACCCTGCCACACATTTCGAACAGAATTACCATTCTCTTTGCGAGCTGTGGGGAACCCTTCCTTAACTACCGTTGTAATTAACAGTTGAAAGTTTAATCCAAGTTTCCGCATTCGAACGGGGTGTGGAATATACGGGAAAAAGAAAGACAGTAGTAAGTTCGTAGGCCTTCGCGAAACTATATCGGGGGAAACAATTGGAAGTCAAACACCTCTCCCTGCCCAGGAGAGAGTAGTACAAGCCGCGAAGTCCGTGCCAGAAATTTGAATGAAAATAACACCTGAATAATTCTTAAAGTCAAAGTAGCTACAACGTAATGCTTATCTGTGGGTGTTACCCCAAATAGTTCGCAATCGTCAGAACCGCCCAATGGTCGTTTTTTAGGCTGGTTGGTACAATGTTACACGCCCTAAGGCTCGTGTGACGTGGTCGCCTGAGAGCAGTTTAAGATTCGTACCGCTTCAAACCATTGCGCACCATATGAACCTTTCAAAGGGAACGAAAATGACTTGCACAGAACTTCGTGTGCCAAGCATGTTGAAGTAGTCGTTGTGCACATCAGCGGACACGCGTGCCACGTGTTCACCTGGTCTTTCAAGATTTGTTCGCACCGCACTCCTTCGCCGTCCATAAATGAACATTTCTCTTGATTCGAGGTGCGACTTGAAATCCATTCCACTTCCAAGCGAGCTGAGGAATACATGCGGCGCGCGACCCGATTTTCATCAGGCTTGTAATTGTCAGCACCGCACATTTCCGGAGTGAGTTCCGTAGTGCTAGGCCAAAGACAACCCAGCTTCTGCTGCAAGCAGGTGGCACCAGTGGAAATGGAAAGTTCCTAGCCTGCTTCTCAACTCAACTCGTTCAATCACCAACACGCGCATCCACACCTGCCCAATCTCTCAAAATTCGACAACCAAATCGCTTTTCACACGAAGGGTATAAATTCTTCAACGAGTTTCCTTCTCTCCCATCAGAGAGCAGCGCCTCTTCCCACTTATCCAGAATCGCTCAGCCTTAGCGATTCTTTCTGTAACTCGAGGTTCGTCACGAGCCTTAAGATTCCGTTTCCGACCATTCGCGGTTCTACGTTTCCTCCACGAACTCGAATCGATCGCCCGCCCTTTCCGCCCCACGACGCCAATACCACCGCTCCAAAATCTCATCCGCTTCCCAATCCCAACATCATGGCGCGCGCTTCTCTCGCTTTGCTGCTGCTTCTCCTTGTCGCCCCATCCGCCGTCTTCGCGCGCAAGCGCGTGTCGCAGGCCAGCTGCGTGAAGTCCACGCTCGCGGGATACACATCAGCAGTCGACCTGAACGGAAAAGGGTACGCTGATTATGCCTTTCATAGCAGTTGATAGTATAACATTAGTAGAACACGCAAACTCCGTCAGAAACAATCTCCATCTCCCCCCTAATTGGCGTCTGACGAGGATGAGCCAATTTAAATGCTGGCTCTAGTTATTAACGGCTAACGCAATCTTCTCCGCTTTCCCTCCACCTTTTCGTTGCCCGGCTGCTTCTCAGGCTCATGTTTCACTGGAAGGTCTCGGGATCGACTCTCAGCGCCGCCGTTGAAGCCCCGTCCAACAAGGGATCAGTCTCCGTTGGCTTTTCTAAGAGCGGCAAGATGTACCCTGCAGACGTTGTCACCGGCTATAGCGGAGGCTCCGTTGCATCGTACAAGCTCACGGGCTACTCAGGAGGTTCCACCAGCAAAATCAAAGGCAGCAGCGCCAAATCCTCCTCTGGCGCTACTACTTTCAAGTGAGGCGTGCAGATTTTCTGGGTATTTTTGCCGCGAGTCGCGTGAAAATATGTGACCGCTTGAAAAAAACGTGAGCTGCACATCATGGTGATGCGCCATTAACTCCGTATTGCCTCTTCTCTCCCCCTCCTCCTCCCCCTTCCCACCCCCCCTCCCCCCCTTCCCCTCCCCCGTTTGGTTAATCCTAACGCAGGTTCACTCGCTCAGGCAATGACGGTTCAGTTTCCATCAACTACTCTGGTTCCAACAGCATCATCTGGGCGTACGGCGCAAGCAGCAAGAAGCTGGCTGACCATGGCAAAAATCGGTATGTTATTCGGCGTGCCTGCATGTCTCCTTTCTGCGCATGACAAAGATAGCGAGATACAGCTGTTTCTAATGTGAATGCTCCGTTAGGAGACCCTGTTGCTAATTCATCCCCGCTCCGCTTCCTCTCATGCTATGTCTGCGAACTCACCTCAATTCCCCTTCTCCCACCCATGCTGTGTCTGCTCCTGCAGTGGCTCCAAGTCTGTGGACTTCTCTTGTGTTGGCTAAACTTATTGTTTGTGTTGGCTAAAGATATTTAGGCGTTTTACTTTATCCTGCTAAAAGGCTTTCTATTCGAGCCATGCTTTGAGGCTTCAAATTATGACCGAATATGTCTGGTTATGGGACTGTTCTAGGGTTTATGAGATAATAAAATTATGTTAATACAGCAGTATCTGACTCCATAAGGACATGAAACAATTATTTTACATGTAGTCTATAAAGGAATCTTGTTTGTGCTCCCCCACTGACACCACTGGTGAGTGGAGGGAGGGGTTCAGAGAAACACATGTCCAAGCAACAAGCCACCCTCAAATAAGGAGAATTGTCGGCGGAGGACGTTGAGAAAGGACACGGCCGTTATGTATGAGAGCTTGCCATTGGCTGATCGGTTAGTTTTGCCAACACCAAGAACCGACATTCCTCCAAGAAACGCCCTTCCCTTGCCTTGGAATACCAATTGCCGTGGCGCATTTCTCGCCACAATCTTGCATTGGCGGCTAGCGAGCGAAATTCCAATCCGCTCGCCCTCCCCTCACAACAATTGCATTGCTGCGACAGCAGTGTGTAGAAGGGTTTCAAAATGCATTCCTCGTTGCATTCTGGTGCGCTTTCCCGCAAGCCAGTGACAGGGTTATTGATTGCTTCGCTGCCCTAGACAAGCGCTGTGTCTCTCTTCGAGAAAAAGCGTAACACTATTTGTTGTTGTGCGCTCCGCCTCTCATAGTTCCTGTTGCCGCCATGGCTGGATTTCCCCGCATGATCGCGACGCGCCGAATCCAGCGTGGTTTACGGTGCCACCGCGTCCCGCGGGTCCCGTTCACGTCCCTCACCGTACTAGCTCTCATCTTAGTAGCTGCCGGAGGCTTCTTCTCTAATGGCGCCGGCGTGCGCGGCGTGTCCGCCGCGCCAGTCCCTGTGGCGAAATGCTTCAAGTCCACGTTACCTGGTTACACGAACGCCGCCGCTCTCACACGGAAAGGGTAAGGGCCACGCCTGTCAATGTAATTTAGTCGACTCGACTTCACAACAAATCGCTTCAGTCGAATTAACCTCCACAGACCGCAATACGCGGTTTCCGCAATTTCTGCATCACCCTTCGAGAACAAAGGTTCATGCTTCGCTTGTTACCACATCGCGCTTCGCGAGTTTTCTTCAGAAGCGCATGGTGCATCCAACAACCAAAACCACCAAACCATTCCATCCAGCCGAGTCCATATTTTCTCTCCGCTTGGCGCCCTACATTTGTTTTGGGCTGAAATTTCTAAAGTTTTTCCCTCAGTCACGCGGTATCGCTCTGATAATTTCCGGCCTCCACTCTTCACCTTATTTAACCTCGTTCCTTGCACTCACTGCAAGACCACCCGTCTCCACTCCTCAACCTACGCCTGTCGGGCTGAAGCAAAGAGCTTTGGGGGCCTACAAAAATGATACCCATTATTATCCGCCACTTACCCATGTATCATCATACTCTACTTCTGTTTTGTAACCGTTGTACGTACCTTCGTTCCCCTTTAACCCCTGTGTCGCTTGATCAGGCTGGTGCTCCACTGGAAGGCCGTCAACCCAACCACCATGAACTTCGCGTTGGAGGCAAAAGCTGCGAGCGGCGCTCACAAGGGCTGGATATCCGTCGGATTCTCCAAGGCGGGCAAGATGACCGGCTCAGATGCGGTGATCGGCAACCTGCCTCGGCCGAACGTGATTGGTCCGTACTACATGGGGAGCATCGTGAAATCCTCAGTAACGAGGACGAACAAGTTCGCGATTACAAAGACGAGCGTGGTTACCAACCCCCAGGGAACCATCATGAAGTGAGTTCAAGTGCTTTGGTGAGCTTTGTGATCAAGTGCTTCTATAGCAATGCCTTAGAGCCTTTCATGGTCTCAACAAACCAACTCGTTGTTGCCAGGTTGGCTGACTTCAGCTGCTTTGTCTCTGTAACATATGTTGGTAATGTCACCTTTTTTTAGTATTCATTCTTAGCTGTTTCTAAAGACGCATGTTTTGTTTCCCTTGCCATTCAAACAGGTTCACCCGCTCCGGGCCTAAGGGTACTGTACCTGTGAAGTACGCTGGGAAGAACTTCATTCTTTGGGCGTATTCCGCCACTGGCAAGTCCAAGGCCCTGGACAACCACTCTCCAATGAACAGGTAGCGTACCATGTTTCTTAATAGATGCTATATGAAAAGGTATGCTCAATGTGTGCATGCCACGTGATACCTGTAGCTTACATTTGTTACACCTCATTTGTGTTTCCAATGCAGAGGTGCCGTGTCTATCAACTTGGGCTGCAAGGTGTAAAACCATCGCCGCATGGAAGAGAATATAGATGGTTACGAGAGATCAGGTTAGGACGTGCATGACATCGTACTGGTATCTTACCGACCATGGCCAGTCAGCCATGATGCATTGCCAATTTGACATATTTAATGAGCTTGACATGTTTGATGAGCTGGTGATGTGTTTTGTCACATGGAACTTGGATACAAGTTTCAAGAAGAGAACTGCACATTGGATTGGCCCTAGTCCAGAGCTGGCAAATTGATTATTTCCCACCTGCAGTTTGAAGTAGCACACTAAGGGCTGGTTCCAAAAGTACGTCACATGTGGCCTCTGAGGTTTGGTACCGCACGACACCTAGTGTTCTATTTCTAAAACCATACACAATTGTTAGGGTAAGGTATTTTGCACATTTATACCACACCTCTGGATTCCGCCCTAAGCATTGTGTGCTGTACTTAGCTAACCAAAGCTACAGTAAGCCCGCTCCATCATTCATCAACGAAAAGCGAGTATACAGGGAGCGGGGTCTTACTGCTGATGTTCTGTGCTGGGTCTGGAATATCCGAAATTTGAGAGGAATCTGCAGCTGACTTTGTTGATAGGCAAGCCACAGGGTCAGAAATACCCTTTTGAGGCGGTTCAAAACAACATGAAGCTGGGAAATTTGAAACTTGAGGAGAATCTGAGGCTCCTGGTGATATGGATGCCGGGGAGTGAGGAAGATGCTCCTCCTTCAAGGACTTGGTCTTTGATGCAGTAGCTGCCACATCAGCTGCCACATCGGCTGCAACATCGGCTGCCACGTCAGCTGATACATCAGCTGATACGTCAGTTGCCAGATCAGCTGATGCATCAGCGGACGCATCAGCAACCAAGTTAGCTGCCATGTCATCCTGGTCTCGAGTCATGTTCTTATCCCAAAGGGCCCTAGCAATGGCCTCCGCCACGTCAGCTGCCACATCATACGCCAGGTCATACTCGTACTTATCGTCGTTCAGGCAGCCGTTTTCATTGGTGTAGAGAGCAAGAGAGAGGAAGAACTCCCTTCCTGTCTCTATGTCGAGAATATAGCTGGATAGGAGGCAAGAGGGGAGGAGGAAGAGGTGGTTGGGGGGGAGGGGTGAGGGGAGACTGACTTATGACTCCGTTTCAGCCAGGATAACTAAGGAAGAGTACAACAAAAAAAGAATGAAAAAAGAATGACTTATGACTCCGTTTCAGCCAGGATAACTAAGGAAGAGTATAGAGACAAAGAAAATTTGGACATGATTGGTTCTTGAGGATTGCTAATTAGTGAAGGGTGTAACATGACTCACGCGTTATCAATAGTGAAGCCAAACGCCTGCCCAATCTTGTTGTAGACGCGCAGAGCTTCCTTTGGCCGCACTCGGCACAATCCGGGCAGAAAAAACTGAACGAGCACAGGCAGAAAAAATAGTATGTTTGCTGGGGAAAAGAAAACCCGTACTTGCTTGTGCTTCTCAGTGGACTGCCCTTCTTTGACACCATTGGTTGAAAAGGCATCCCTGTTCTCTCAGACCAATACCCCATCATACCCCATCAAATCTCATCACACCCCCTCACACCCTATTACACCCCATCACACCGCACCACACCTTGCAGTAATCGTCTGTGTACTTCTTGTCAGCATATCTGGGGTTGCGGGATTCCCGTGGATATTGCCTCATGGCCTCCAGCAGCAGCACCCCAACACACCTCATCACACCCCTATCACACCACACCACACCCCACCACACTGCATCACACACCATCACACCACATCACACCGCACACACCTTGCAGTAATCATCCGTGTACTTCTTGTCAGCATATCTGGGGTTGTGGGACTCCCGTGGGTATTGCCCCATGGCCTCCAACACCAGTACCCCAACACACCTCATCACACCCCATCGAACCGCACCATACCCCACCCCACCACACCCCACCGCATCACACTGTGCCACACCTTGCAGTAATCATCCGTGTACTTCTTGTCAGCATATCTGGGGTTGTGAGATTCCCGTGAGTACTGCCTCATTGCCTCTAGCAGCAGCAGCCTGTGACCTTCGTCCAATCCGATTGGCTGGCAGCCAGGCAGCTGGATCAAGCGTGGGAGTGGCAATGCATGGAAGGAGGAGAGACATCAGACTACTCTTTTCAGTTACGTCTGGGAGGGATGCATATGGGGAAATGCATCCCTCCCATGAGTCTTTCATGGGTGTAGACGTCATCTAGAGACAACAGAGGTCAAGTGATTGTAGAGGGGAAAAACTAATGGGATGTTTCCATGAGCTGTAGACACAAAAAACAACCACATTTGGCAAATACCTGTATGTCTGGGCGCATGAGCAGCACAAGGAGGTTCTGCAGGTCAACGAGAGTCAAGCGATTCTTGGGGGAGAAGTCCAAGGGCGCATTGACCTGTAGAGACCCGCCTGGCATTCACCAACATGCCATGCCATGCCATGCCATACCATGCCACGCCGTACCATGCCATGCCATGCCATGCCATGCCATGCCACGCCGTACCATGCCATGCCATGCAATGTCATACTACGCCATGTCACCCCTTGCCACGCCACGCCATGCCACGTATGCCATGCCACGCCATACCATGCCATGCCATGCATGCCATATCACGACGATCAATGCACCACAGTCACCATGTCATGCCAATAAAAAAAAGAACCCAAGGTGTAGAGAAACGACGATAAACTTCATGCCTCACCATACAAGCAGAGGCAAAGAAACGCACAAAAGCATGACGGAGGGTAACCTTTGAGACATTTGAAAATTCAACAAGGAAACACAGATGCCCCAACCCAACAGCCACAGCTAGCTACTCCCTCATTACACACAATTCACGATATAAGCACACCCACCTTGGTGCCATCGGCATCGATATAAGCACGCCCAACCAGCAACCCCTCCACTCCCTCCACCGGAGCCAGCACACGACTGCTGCACTTGGGAGGAAAGCAGAATGCGGATGCATTGGCTTGGCCTTCCAAGCCCACTTGCACGGGTTCACAGCGGCGATTGTCGAGAGGAGAGAGGGGGATGGAGAGGCGGTGGGAGAGGTGCGCGGAACAGAGACCCAGGGAGTGCCTGGAGAGAGGGAGGGAAGGACGAAATTACATAGCAGCAATTACTGCGTAGTGGAAACACGTGAGAAGTAAGGTGGTGAGCGGAGAGGAGAACCAAAGAGCGCCTGAAGAGAGAGAAGTAGAAGTAGAAGGAAAGAAGAAGGCTATTGTGCTTTGCTTGCTTCCAAGCGCAGCTCATGACTTTAATGCTTGGGGAAAAATCGAATTGTTTGAAGTTCTCGGAAGCCTAAACAAATACGTTTCCACCTTCCCCTAATGTCTCCAAGTCCAAGACGTCAGTGCTGGCAACTGAGTCGTCTTTGCCCTACCAGGTGACTTGTCGACTCAAAAGTCATAAGTCACCTTTTGAGTCGACTCAAAAGTCAGTGCTGGCAACTGAGTCGTCTTTGCCCTAGGCGTTACTTTTGAGAATTCTCACGAAGGGCATAGGCATCGCTGATATGAATGAAGGCATCGAGTTGTTTTTGGGCAGTGATACTCACATGGCTTCATTGAGTCGCCTTTGTCCTGTCAAGGCATAGAACCTGTTGTACGCTGTGTTGCTAGACACCTGAGTCGAGCAGAAAGAAACATGAGGATGTGAACCACAGCATGCAAGGGATAGGAAAAGCCACCTGATTAGGAACACATCAAGAACACATTTCTAATCTTTATAAGCACCGGAAATTTGCCATCCACCCATTCAGGTCGGACGAATCTCGGCTCTCCTCCTTGTATCCAGATAGGTGGCTTTTGAGACTTCTCAGAAGCCGCCTGTAGTGTCACTCACCAGGAACAGCAGTCACCAGGAACAACACTCACCAGGAACAGCACTCACCAGGAACATCTTTCTGATCTCATGAGCTATGGTGATATGCCCTCCGTTCAAGTTGGACGGGTCATGGCTCTCCTCCTTGTCTCCAAGGTACAGAGGGAGGAAGGAGAGAGGCGAGTGCAACGATATGATTTCGCCTCGAGCTGCGAAGGAGGAGTAGTTGGAGAGAAAGTCGGGGGGGAGGGGAGAGCGGGAGAGGAGGAAGGGCAGGGGAGTAGAGGAGTGGAAACAGCCTGTTTCGGTGTTGGATTTTGAAACAACAAGGCTCAAGAAACGGGCAAGGCAGCATCACACGAGTGCTACTCGGAGACTTACAATAGGGTGAGTGAGAGAGAAGGGGTGAAGGAGTGAAAAGAAGTTCTGCTGGTGGTGTGCTGTGTTGCAGAAGACGCACATTTAGACGCAAGACGCATGGGGTGTTTTTTTTCCGGTCTGACCGATTTTTTTTTTGCCCGCGCGCGAATTTGACATTTGCCATTTCGACGCCAAGGTCGAAATCGCGAAATCCCCCCCCCCCCCCCCCTCCCCCCAAACGAAATCGACCGTCAAAACCAGCCCAAAACCCAAAAACGGAAACCCCCCCTACCAAAATTTACGCCACATCCTACTCCACCGCACAAGATCTACTCAACCCAACCACAATTGCATACCACCAAGAGTATATTGGAGCACAAGTGCTTCATTTGTGCTCCTCCACTTTAGTTCAACCAAATTCTCCTCGGAAAACCCTCAGGGGTTTAGCTCTTAGTAGACCTAACTTATGGCTTCTCCTAGTTCTTCCTCCATCTCCTTGTATGTGACGTGGTGAAACTTCTCCTAAGGGAGAAAACACTTGGTACGGGAGATTTTTTGGCTGAAATGTGAATTATGTAACCCCCCCCCCCCCCCCCCCCCCCAATGCCCCTTTGGGGTTTTTTTTGGGCCTGCCCGAACCTTTTTTTGGTCTGCCCGGGCTTGCGTCTGTATCTGCGTCTAAAAAGGCCCAAAAATGCGTCTTGCGTCCTGGACGCAGCGTCTAGACGCACTTTGTCCAGGACGCAAGACGCGTCTTCTGCAACACAGGTGGAGTGAAGTGAAGCCAAGCCAACAAGGCCACATTCTCAGGAGAGGGAAGGGCAGTGTCCCAATATGCTCATGCAAGGAAACCTTGCTGTTGTACTCTGTCACTTTTCACACAAGAACCGCTTCGAGCCCATTTGAACCGCCTCGAGCCCTTTGAAACCCAACGTACCCCAACCAACATACCAGTCTCTCACCTTGGAACTCTGCCACTCTCTGAAGAGCCTCCACTGCAGCACACAGACTTTTGAGGCGCCTCAAAAGAACCGCTCTGAACCCATTTACTCAACGTACCCCAGCATACCAGTCTCTCACCTTGGAACTCTGCCACTCTCAGAAGAGCCACCACTGCGGCACACAGCTTGATGGCACTGAGAGGCGGAAAGCCGAGAAGAGGAGGATGACAAGAGCGGATACAGACACACAATGGGAGGAGACGAGGTTTGGGGTGGAACCTTAAGGAAAAAGGATGACAAAAGAAGAAGACGGACAACAACGGGACACCTGGCAGGATAGAGCATCTGCTTAGGGCAGCAAACCTGGCAGGAAGAGCATCTGCTTAGGGCAGCAAACCTGGCAGGATAGAGAATCTGCTTGGGGCAGCAAACCTGGCAGGATAGAGCACCTGCTTAGGGCAGCACACCTGGCAGGATAGAGCATCTGCTTAGGGCAGCACACCTGGCAGGATAGAGCATCTGCTTAGGACAGAAAACCTGGCAGGATAGAGCACCTGCTTAGGGCAGCACACCTGGCAGGATAGAGCATCTGCTTAGGGCAGCAAACCTGGCAGGATAGACAATCTGCTTAGGGCAGCAAACCTGGCAGGATATGGCATCTGCTTAGGGCAGCACACCTGGCGGGATAGAAGTACTCATGGTCCACTCGGTAGCCATGTCGACGCAGACGAGGCTGGCCGCTTACGTTTGCAGCAACTTCTGATACAAGCGCCTGTGGGATAATGGACAACGGAAAACGCAAGGACGTCAAGACTGGCACATAGAAAGCATCAAACTCGTTCTGAGAACTTGTGGAGGCGTATACGTTGAGCGAATTTTATTTCTTTCTTCTTGGTTTGTTTGTTTGTTTGTCTGTTCGGTTTCTTTCAGCTGTCAAATCCAAAATCTGAGCCACCGCATAGTACTTTGGAAAGGATCACAGATGGAGTTCAGAAAACGGATAATGTCAGAACGCAATTTTGTACCTGGAACCTATACGTGGAAGGGTCCTCCAAAACACGGCGAAGCTTCTTGGAAGGATGCCGACGAAGGATCGCCTGATGCATTCAAGCAAGGCGAACAGAGGATAAAGGAATGACGATGATCATGACGGGATCACGGCGGGATCATGACGGAATTATGACGGGATGATGGCGGATGTTGACGGATAATGACGACGAGCGAAGGAGATGAGACGACTGAAAAAATTGCACAACGAAAGGAAGTCTTTTGATAGTAGAATGGCTAGCTTGAATGATGATGAACTGTAAAACCAAGGGGGAGAAGCTTCGAGTCGCACACCTCCACGTTCATCGTTGCTGCTGCAGTCAATGAGTCGCGAATTGACTGAAACGAAAACGGTCAATGATTCGCGACTTGACTGAAACGAAAACGGCCAATCACAGATCGTTCCCGCCTTAACGTACCAAGGCCTTTTCGGTCTAGACCTTGGTTCAAATGTAGGCCATCATGGATTCGTACTTGCTTTGCTTGTGTATGTGTGTCACGACTCACTAGCAACGTGACTGGTGCTTGCGTCTCTCGTACAGCCGATAAACTAGACGCGGTAAAAGTGCTCGATTGGGGGGAGATCGATCCGGTCACCGCACTGAAACCTTGCGTTTTGCATATGAAAGATACACAACCGTTTATAACCGTGCTATAAAACGATCCTGAGGCGATCGATTCTCCACTTAACCGCATCCTGATAAAGTTGTCTGACAATCCCAAGGTGACGTAGCAAGGTTGAGTGACGAAGCAGGCCACGAGGCTGCTGGGTTCTCGTCGCAGGCGGGCCATGTCATGCGGTTCATTCACCACAAGTTGGGAACCGAGAAAGCAAAAGCCAATTATCAAAGCCAGCAAGTACACGAGTCTGCAACTCAAAGTAATTATAAGCAATATGATACAAAGTAAGAAAACAATTCCAATCCAAAGTGCAACGATCGGTGCACATTGATGAAAAACGTTTGTTCATGCCTACTCCAAAAAAAATTAATACCAGTTGCCATCAGGTTTTTTGGGCAACCAGCCTCGCTCGTAACTGTTGACAAACTGCCAGTGGTGCGTGCCTGCAAAAATGGAAAGGAAGCCAGACGACACGAAGAGCAAGAAGAGGAGAAAAAAGAGGAGAGCATTGATGGAAGCACCAATGGGGAACAAATTAGGCGAGGCACTGACAAGTGGGAGAGGAGTGCAGCACGGACAAACCAGTGGTGTGGAGTTATCAGGACAAATGGATGCAGCACAACAAGAACACGGGCACGTACCGGTGGTGTTGAGAGTTTCCAGGACGAACGGATGCAGCAGAACAAGAGCACATACCAGTGGCGTTGAGTTTTCAGGAAAAAGGGTGCAGCAGAACAAGAGCACGTACCGGTGGTGTTGAGTTTCCAGGACCAGAAGAACCAGCCAGCCTTGGCGTGGCTGAATGCTTTCATCTGGCCGAGGGAGAAGTTGGCCTGCTGCTCCGGTGTTGCGGGGTTGCCCATCGCATTGCAGAACTCCCCCACCAGCAGCTGCCACCCCACTTTCTGCACCCAACGTAGCAGTGGCACAGAGCACAATGTTTAGACAGCGCAATGCGATGGGAGACGTGCCGTGTGGTGTGTGGAATTCGTGTGGAATGCTGACAACACAGAGCAACTGCTAGAGAATTCGAGCCTTGTTGAGTCGACTCAAAATGAGGAGGGAAAAGCCTCCGATCATACGCAACCCACCTCTTGAAAGCTTACGAGTCGACTCAAAATAAGGAGGGAAAAGCCTCCGATCATACGCAACCCACCTCTTGAAAGCTTACGATGTTGTTCACCTGGGTGGTGTAGGCATAATCAAGTTCAAAGTTGACGCCCTTGGACCCAGCCCGTGTTGAACATTGAAGCAACCAACCCTTCCCAACCCACCTCTTGAAAGCTGACGATGTTGTTGACCCGGGTGGTGTAGGCGTAATCAAGTTCAAAGTTGACGCCCTGGGAGCTGAAGCAGTTGAGGCGACTCAAAACGAAGGAGAAGCCAGAGATCATAGTCAGAACACTCACCTCTTGGAAGCTGACAATGTTGTTAACCCGGGTGGTGTAGGCGTAATCAAGTTCAAAGTCAACGCCCTTGTTGGGTGAACTCAAAATCATGGGAAAGTCACGTATCGCAGGCAGCGTACCTCTTGGAAGCTGACGATGTTGTTGACCCTGGTGGTGTAGGCGTACTCAATCTCCCAGACTCTAAGCGAAGGAGAAGCCAGAGATCATAGTCAGAACACTCACCTCTTGGAAGCTGACGATGTTGTTAACCCGGGTGGTGTAGGCGTAATCAAGTTCAAAGTTGACGCCCTGGGAGCTGAAGAAGTTGCCAAAGACCTCGTAGATGTGCTGCTCCAGGATCACGTTGTTGTGCCACGCGTCGCTCATGTGCCACATCACGTCGCCAAAGTTGCTGCCCACGCGGCCCTCCATGGCCACGAAGCAGCACAGGCAGCGCGCGCGGATGGCGTTGAAGGCCGCCGAGTAGTACCCCCGCATGTCCTCCACATCCACCCCCGCGTACCCGTTGGCCCCCGGCACCACCGGCTCGTTCAGCAGCCCCATGCCCAGCCACATAGGGTCGGCGCCGTACCTATAGGTTTGGAAGCCAGGAGCAAGAAGCCATTGGAGCAAGAAGCCATTGGAGCAAGAAGCCATTGGAGCAAGAAGACAATACAGTTTCCGTGTATCGTCGAGTACTGGTTGAAATTTTGTCCCATTCGTTATGAAATGTGCTAGAAATATTTCAAAACTAGGTTCGCAGACTCGCTCAACAATAAAAAATGCGAGCGGATAGCCTCACCTGTCAGCAAGCCATGTGACAAAGTCGAGCGTGCGGTTGATATTCGCCCCTCGCCAGCGAATCAGCCCGTCCCGCGCATTCCCCTTGCCCGCCTGCGACCCCGGCGCCACATGCACGCTGAACCAAATCCTCACTCCATACTTCCTCCCCATCTCAAACGCCCAGTCCAGGTACGTCGCCGCTCCGGGCACAAAGGGGAACTCAGGGGAGGCGTCAAGGCCGATCCAGTAGGCCAGAGGGATGCGCACTGTGTTGATCCCCAGCTCTTGCATCTTCTGCCAGTCTGCCTCCTTGAGGAAGTTTCGGCGAATGTTCTCGTAGATCGATGGTGCGGCCACGCCGGCTGTGTAGGCCGCCTGCCAATCCGCCTCCACTCGCCACAGCTGGAGTGGAGAGAAGAGGAGGGTGGGGGTTGGGGGAAGAGGAGTGCAGTGGAGATTTAGGGTAAATGCTGATGAGAATATATAGGTTCTCTACGAAGGCCGCCCGCCAGTCCGCCGCCACCCGCCACAGCTGGGGGTGATGGGGAAAGGTGGAGGGGGGGAGTGGGAACTTGGGTTACGTTTTGATGTGGAAGGGCGTTTGTTGTGTAGGCCATGGCCAGTCTGCTTGCATATGCCACGAGTTGAGGAGAGGGAGGCTGGAGAAAACAGCATAGTAGGACGGGCGCACTAACCATAGAGAGAAAGAAGGGAAGGGAGGAGGGAGGTTTGCGAGGGAGAGAAGGAGGTAAGGAGGGAGAAAGGAGGAAGGGAGGGAGGGAACACTGACCACAATTAGGCAGTGGGGGGAAGGAAAGAGAGGAGCCAGCAGCAAGGGAGGAAGGTAAGAGGGAGAGGAGGGAGAGAGGGAGGGACGCCCCACTTACTCACAGTGAGGTCTACTTTTGAGGCGCCTCAAGAGGGAGGGAGGGAGGGAGGGAGGGAGGGAGGGACGTCACACTTACCACACTGAGGTCGAATGCAGCAGCGTTGAGTGGAGATGGACGAGGGAGTAGGGAGTGGAGGGGGAGGAACGGAGGACGGGTAGGAGGACGGAGAGGACGCACACTGGCCACAGTGAGGTCGAATGCGGCAGCACTGCTCTAAATGGCGTTGTTGTCAAGTGAGTCGAGAAGATCAGCAGTGAGGGAGCCGTCTGGGTTGGCTTGGAGGAAGAGGCTGTTGGGAGGAAGGGAAGAAGGAAGGAGGAAGGAGGAAGGAGGAAGAAGGAAGGAGGAAGGAGGAACTCCCAAGCACTCACCACAGTGAGGTCGAAAGCAGCAGCGCTGGACCAGATGGCATCATTGTCAAGTGAGTCCATAAGATCAGCAGTGAGGGAGCCGTCTGGGTTGGCCTGCCGTCCCAAACCAGCTCGTGATTTGCACGGCTATGTGCTCTGTTTAGAAGCCCCCAGATACTCACCACAGTGAGGTCGAAGGCAGCAGCACTGGACCAGATGGCATCGTTGTCAAGTGAGTCGAGAAGATCGGCAGTGAGGGAGCCATCGGGGTTGGCTTGGACAAAGAGGCCATTGGGAGCGCGCAGCACCACGCGCACACTGCTGCCCCTCTGCTCCGTGGACCCGTTGAGTGGTATTCCGAAGATGAACAGCTCAAAGTTGCTCGCTGTGCCCTGGAAGAGGCAAGGGAATGACAGGGACATTGGGAGGGGAGAGGGTGAGCTTACGCACGCAGCACCACGCGAACACTGCCACTCCTCTGCTCCGTGGACCCGTTGAGTGGTATTCCGAAGATGAACAGCTCAAAGTTGCTCGCTGCGCCCTGGAAGAGGCAAGGGAATGATAGGGCTATGATGGATTTGACCCCAAAAACTGAAAACGCAAGGGTCAAAACGTGGCGTTTTGACCCTTGACGCATCAAACCGTTTTGACGTTTGACGCTACTGGTAAACATTTTCGGGCAGCCCGATTTCGGAAAAAAAAAGTCAATAATTTTCGAAATCGAAATTTTGCTCTCAAAACGCGACCCGCCAAATTGAACTCGACATTTTGAGGCCCCAAAACAGGCCCCAACCAAACCAACACCCAAACCACCCTCCACCCCTTGGAAACTACTCAACCCAACCCATCCCCTAGTACTTCACCACAATTCTGCTTTGGAAACCCCATTCTAGGTTTTCCAACCAGCAAATCGTTTTTTACCTTCTCTTTCTCTACAAGCAAGTTCTAAGCCTCCCTTACTAACCCCCCTGTTCCCAGTTTTTTTTTCCCTGCCCGGGATTTTTTTTGCCCTGCCCGCCACAGCGTCAAACTGGGGGTACCCCTTGGACAGGGGGCGTCAAAAGCGTCAAAACGCTAGCGTTTTGACTCAGAGTCAAAACGCTGAGCGCGTCAAATCCATCATAGTGATAGGGTCATGGGGGAGGAAGAGAGTGAGCTCTGGCGCGTGAAGCACCACGCGCACACTGCCACCCCTCTGCTCGCTCCGTTGATGCATTCAGTGGAGTGCCAAAGATGAAGAGCTCAAAGTTGCTCGAGGCACCCTGAGGGGTTAAGGCATGGGCGGGGAGGAGAGAGGGAAGAGAAACAGGGGAGGAATAGGGATATGGAAAAGCAGCAACGGCGGATGGAGGGTTGGGTGGGTGGGCAGAGATGGATGGAAGGTTGGTTGGGCGGAGATTGATGGCACAGCGTACCTCGGGCTCTGTGGATTGGACCCAGACGTTGGGCGAGTTGTCCCGCACGGCCCAGTATTGTAGCCACTGCACTGATATCTGGTGAGGCAGAGACGGGTGGAACAGGGGGGGAGCACGATGGAGAGCAGTAAGGGAGAGCAGTAAGGGAGAGCAGTAAGGGAGAGCAGTAAGGGAGAGCAGTAAGGGAGAGCAGTAAGGGAGAGCAGTAAGGGAGAGCAGTAAGGGAGAGCAGTAAGGGAGAGCAGTAAGGGAGAGCAGTAAGGGAGAGCAGTAAGGGCGAGCAGTAAGGGAGAGCAGTAAGGGAGAGCAGTAAGGGCGAGCAGTAAGGGCGAGCAGTAAGGGCGAGCAGTAAGGGAGAGCAGTAAGGGCGAGCAGTAAGGGAGAGCAGTAAGGGAGAGCAGTAAGGGCGAGCAGTAAGGGCGAGCAGTAAGGGAGAGCAGTAAGGGCGAGCAGTAAGGGCGAGCAGTAAGGGCGAGCAGTAAGGGAGAGCAGTAAGGGCGAGCAGTAAGGGAGAGCAGTAAGGGAGAGCAGTAAGGGCGAGCAGTAAGGGCGAGCAGTAAGGGAGAGCAGTAAGGGCGAGCAGTAAGGGCGAGCAGTAAGGGCGAGGAGCATTGAGGGCGAGCATAATGGGGCCTTACTCTTCGAGTGTTTGAGTCTGACAGGGGGCCTTACTCTTCGAGTGTTTGAGTCTGACAGGGGGCCTTACTCTTCGAGTGTTTGAGTCTGACAGGGGGCCTTACTCTTCGAGTGTTTGAGTCTGACAGGGGGCCTTACTCTTCGAGTGTTTGAGTCTGACAGGGGGCCTTACTCTTCGAGTGTTTGAGTCTGACAGGGGGCCTTACTCTTCGAGTGTTTGAGTCTGACAGGGGGCCTTACTCTTCGAGTGTTTGAGTCTGACAGGGGGCCTTACTCTTCGAGTGTTTGAGTCTGACAGGGGGCCTTACTCTTCGAGTGTTTGAGTCTGACAGGGGGCCTTACTCTTCGAGTGTTTGAGTCTGACAGGGGGCCTTACTCTTCGAGTGTTTGAGTCTGACAGGGGGCCTTACTCTTCGAGTGTTTGAGTCTGACAGGGGGCCTTACTCTTCGAGTGTTTGAGTCTGACAGGGGGCCTTACTCTTCGAGTGTTTGAGTCTGACAGGGGGCCTTACTCTTCGAGTGTTTGAGTCTGACAGGGGGCCTTACTCTTCGAGTGTTTGAGTCTGACAGGGGGCCTTACTCTTCGAGTGTTTGAGTCTGACAGGGGGCCTTACTCTTCGAGTGTTTGAGTCTGACAGGGGGCCTTACTCTTCGAGTGTTTGAGTCTGACAGGGGGCCTTACTCTTCGAGTGTTTGAGTCTGACAGGGGGCCTTACTCTTCGAGTGTTTGAGTCTGACAGGGGGCCTTACTCTTCGAGTGTTTGAGTCTGACAGGGGGCCTTACTCTTCGAGTGTTTGAGTCTGACAGGGGGCCTTACTCTTCGAGTGTTTGAGTCTGACAGGGGGCCTTACTCTTCGAGTGTTTGAGTCTGACAGGGGGCCTTACTCTTCGAGTGTTTGAGTCTGACAGGGGGCCTTACTCTTCGAGTGTTTGAGTCTGACAGGGGGCCTTACTCTTCGAGTGTTTGAGTCTGACAGGGGGCCTTACTCTTCGAGTGTTTGAGTCTGACAGGGGGCCTTACTCTTCGAGTGTTTGAGTCTGACAGGGGGCCTTACTCTTCGAGTGTTTGAGTCTGACAGGGGGCCTTACTCTTCGAGTGTTTGAGTCTGACAGGGGGCCTTACTCTTCGAGTGGTTGAGTCTGACAGGGGGCCTTACTCTTCGAGTGTTTGAGTCTGACAGGGGGCCTTACTCTTCGAGTGTTTGAGTCTGACAGGGGGCCTTACTCTTCGAGTGTTTGAGTCTGACAGGGGGCCTTACTCTTCGAGTGTTTGAGTCTGACAGGGGGCCTTACTCTTCGAGTGTTTGAGTCTGACAGGGGGCCTTACTCTTCGAGTGTTTGAGTCTGACAGGGGGCCTTACTCTTCGAGTGTTTGAGTCTGACAGGGGGCCTTACTCTTCGAGTGTTTGAGTCTGACAGGGGGCCTTACTCTTCGAGTGTTTGAGTCTGACAGGGGGCCTTACTCTTCGAGTGTTTGAGTCTGACAGGGGGCCTTACTCTTCGAGTGTTTGAGTCTGACAGGGGGCCTTACTCTTCGAGTGTTTGAGTCTGACAGGGGGCCTTACTCTTCGAGTGTTTGAGTCTGACAGGGGGCCTTACTCTTCGAGTGTTTGAGTCTGACAGGGGGCCTTACTCTTCGAGTGTTTGAGTCTGACAGGGGGCCTTACTCTTCGAGTGTTTGAGTCTGACAGGGGGCCTTACTCTTCGAGTGTTTGAGTCTGACAGGGGGCCTTACTCTTCGAGTGTTTGAGTCTGACAGGGGGCCTTACTCTTCGAGTGTTTGAGTCTGACAGGGGGCCTTACTCTTCGAGTGTTTGAGTCTGACAGGGGGCCTTACTCTTCGAGTGTTTGAGTCTGACAGGGGGCCTTACTCTTCGAGTGTTTGAGTCTGACAGGGGGCCTTACTCTTCGAGTGTTTGAGTCTGACAGGGGGCCTTACTCTTCGAGTGTTTGAGTCTGACAGGGGGCCTTACTCTTCGAGTGTTTGAGTCTGACAGGGGGCCTTACTCTTCGAGTGTTTGAGTCTGACAGGGGGCCTTACTCTTCGAGTGTTTGAGTCTGACAGGGGGCCTTACTCTTCGAGTGTTTGAGTCTGACAGGGGGCCTTACTCTTCGAGTGTTTGAGTCTGACAGGGGGCCTTACTCTTCGAGTGTTTGAGTCTGACAGGGGGCCTTACTCTTCGAGTGTTTGAGTCTGACAGGGGGCCTTACTCTTCGAGTGTTTGAGTCTGACAGGGGGCCTTACTCTTCGAGTGTTTGAGTCTGACAGGGGGCCTTACTCTTCGAGTGTTTGAGTCTGACAGGGAGCCTTACTCTTCGAGTGTTTGAGTCTGACAGGGGGCCTTACTCTTCGAGTGTTTGAGTCTGACAGGGGGCCTTACTCTTCGAGTGTTTGAGTCTGACAGGGGGCCTTACTCTTCGAGTGTTTGAGTCTGACAGGGGGCCTTACTCTTCGAGTGTTTGAGTCTGACAGGGGGCCTTACTCTTCGAGTGCTGGAGGAGGCGTTTCGAACGGTGGTGAGGTGAAGGTAGGTGTCCTTGTTGAGGGAGCCGTTGCAAGTCATCTGATTGTGGCAAGAGGGCAAAACGAGCACGTGGGTGGGTAGGGGGACATGAAAATTCCGTGCATTTTGAATAGTGGTGATGCTTTTGAGTCGACTCAAAAGTCACCCGCATTTTGAATAGTGGTGATGCGCAGATATATCTGCTCGTGGCAAGAAGGCAAAGTGGGGGATACGCAAGAGAACGCAAATGGATAACTGCTAGAAGTTCCATCAGCTGTCAATGCAATGATATTGATTTTGCAAGTAAAAAAAAAAAGGGAGATAGTAACATATTGTGATGTTGAGTGTGTGCACTTACGATAGTTCCACCACCACCGGGTGCGGAGACGTATTGGCCCGATATCACCGAGCAAGGTAATTGTCTAGTCGGCTAAAAAGCGATAGTAACATAACACATCGTGATGTTAGGTGTGTGCACTTACAATTGTTCCACCGCCACCGGGTGCTGTGACGTATTGGCCCGATATCACCGAGCGAAGAGTGAACTGCCATGCCATGCACCATGCCATGCACCATGCCATGCACCATGCCATGCACCATGCCATGCATCATGCCATGCACCATGCCATGCACCATGCCATGCCATGCCATGCACCATGCCATGCACCATGCCATGCACCATGCCATGCATCGCCATGCCATGCCATGCAGCAGCAACCATGCACGATGCCATATTCCATGCCATGCATCCACCATTGAATATGCCATAGCATAACAGAACGAGAAACATTGAGGGAACAACGTTTATGCTAATGGTTTGAAGAATTCCCTCCCCCCCCTTCCCCTCCAACCCTCACCATCCCTCCCCTCCCATTCCTTCCCCTCCCCTCCCCTCCCCTCCCCTCCCTTTCCCCATCCCCCCTCCCCTCCAAGTCCCCTCCCCGCTCCCCCAACCCACTCACCCGAGTGCCATCACCATAGCCAGCAAACTTGAACGCCTCTCCGTTCATCCACGGCTCAGTCATGAGCCACGACCCCAGATTCGCCCCTCGAATCGCCGGCACCCACATGATCTCCCTCACATCAAGCCGCTCCCAGTCGCCCGGCTCCCCTCTCCACCAGAACTGCGGGCCCTTGTCGCCATCCTGTGAGATGTACCATCCATCGGAGGATTTGAAGACCACGTAGACCGTGTCCGGGATGTATTCGATGGTGAACACTGTGAGCGGGTCCGAGGAGTTGGTAGTTGTCTCTAGGAACATGGATGGGGCCTTGGTTAAAAAGGTGTTGCTGGGAGTCAGGAACTGGAACTGCAGGGGACGGGCCAAGGGGATATATTCAATGGTGAACACTGTGAGCGGGTCTGAGGAGTTGGTGGTTGTCTCCAGGAACATGGACGCTGCTTTTGTTAGCCAGGTGTTGCTGGGAGTCAACTTTTGAGGCGCCTCAAAACCTTTGAGGCGACTTTTGAGGCGACTTTTGAGGCGACTTTTGAGGCGAATTTTGAGGCGACTTTTGAGGCGACTTTTGAGGCGACTTTTGAGGCGACTTTTGAGGCGCCTCAAAAATGTTAGCAAGGTGTTGCAGGGAGTCAGGAATTGGAACTGCATGGGAATGGGTATTAAGAAGAAAGAACATTGCATAAGGATGGTGAGCTGAGCGCCTGTGAGGCACTGGGCGTGGTAGAGTAGAGACCGGGTCGATCTCTTGCACCAGATATTCATGTGAGTTTCTTGATAGCACCTAGGTATAAGAAAACCCCACCACTGTTCTTACCTCAGTGTCGGAGACTCGAATGATGGTGAGTGCCTGTGAGGCACCGGGGGTGGTGCTGACTACTCCCCACATGTGACTACATACATACATCTGTCGCACGAGCGTGGGTACGAGGGGCCCCATCCCCCTTACCTCAGTATCTGAGACTCGAATGATGGTGAGCGCCTGTGAGGCACTGGGCGTGGTGCTGACCCCATCTCTCGCACCCGCACACTGTATAAGAGACTCCATCCCCCTTACCTCAGTGTCTGAGACTCGAATGATGGTGAGCGCCTGTGAGGCACTGGGCGTGGAAAAGACCCGGCCTACGCGCCCCTCCCAGTTGACCCCGTCTGCTGCTGCCCACCACGTGCCCCATGTCTTGGTGCGCACTATCACCTGGAGGAGAGAACAAGAGAGGAGGAGGGGAACTCCTACGGGTTAAATATAAGAGAGGGTGCGCGACTAGCTTCCATCCACCACGTGCCCCATGTCTTGGGGGGCACTATCACCTGGAGGAGAGAACAAGAGAGGAGGGGGGGGAACGGAAGGCAAGAGAGAGAGAGATTTTTAGGGCATGATGGTGAGGTGAGCGCCTGTGAGGGAGGGGGCGTGGAGCTGACTCGGCCTGCAACCCGCCCTTCCCAGTTCACCCCGTCTGCTGCTGTCCACCACGTTTGCCATGTCTTTGACCGCACTATTATCTGGAGGAGAGGGCAAGAGAGGGGGAGGGAAAGAGAGGGGGAGGGCAAGAGAACGTGTGTGCCGCTCCCAGTTCACCCCGTCTGCTGCTGTCCACCACGTTTGCCATGTCTCGGAACGGATTATCACCCGGGGAGAGGAAGATGGGAAGGCGAGAGAGAAGTTACAAGCATATGATGCATGGGAAAGGGAGGACCAACTAATCACGTGCCCTTAGCCATGCCCATACCCATACCCACCAACACCCATACTGTCCCCTCCACTCACCCTAGCCCCGTGTGCCAGCTGGCTGCTGAGCCACAGCGACGTCATCTTGGGAACGCCGGGGGCGAGCGTGGGAGCAGCGTTGGAGCAGCACTTCCCCTCGCACCTTGGGATCATCATACCCCAACCACCCACACCCATGCCCATACATGCCCATACATGCCCATACATGCCCATACATGCCCATACATGCCCATATCCTTCTGCACTCACCCTAGCCCCGTGTGCCAGCTGGCTGCTGAGCCATAGAGATGTCATCTTGGGAACACCGGGGGCGAGCACGGGAGCAGCATTGGAGCAGCACTTCCCCTCACACATCGGCCCCGGAGGGGGAGGGGACCTGAGCGGAGGGGGACTGAGCGGAGGGCTTGGGGGAGTGGGGGGCGGAGGCGACGGGCTGGGGGGAGGAGGACGAGGAGGAGGGGAGGGGGGTGGAGGGCGGGGGGGAGAGGGAGGGCGGGGGGGCGGGGGACGGGGGGGAGAGGGAGGGAGAGGGGGCGGAGGACGTGGGGGAGGCGGGGACCTTCTTGGCGGAGGCGGTGGGGGGAGTCTTCTGATCGAGGTGGAGGGTCTGGGAGGGGGGCTTTTCTTAGTTGGGGGCGGTGCTTTCGCTGCTATGACTCTGCGATGCACTGTGGAGGAGGAGAGGCGAATGTCTCTGGACAGCCCAACGTGAGTGGAGAAGGACGAGATGCGCCACGGCTCATTCCCTTCTGCTTCCGTGCCCCCATCCTCCCTCTCACTCTCCCTTCCCTCTTGTTCCTCCGCCTTCCCCATTTCCTGCTCCTGCTCCTGCTCCTGCCCCCCCTGCTCTTGATCCTCCGTGTTCTCCTGATGCCGAACCTCGTCCTCAACATCCTCTTCCCGAGCCTCTTCTCGAGCCTCCGCCGGGCGTCTGGGCCGATGCACCTTCCCGAACAACATGTGTTTGGCGGCATGCGCCGCCCAAATGGCCTCTATCTCCGACTGAGGCTCATCTCCCACCGGCTCCACCCATTGAACCCCCCCAACTCCCCTAACTCGCCCAACTCGCCCCTTACCCTCTGAGCCAGAGCGTAAATGGTTCCCGGCGTTGGGATCCGGATCGCAGCCTTTATTCTGCTTCCCCAGACACAGGCTCTCGAGCCATGGGTCTGTCTCCGAGTCCTCTGGTTCTTCCTGGTGGGGATAGGTCGGTTTGATGCTGTCCGGGTGGGGAGATCTCCTTGATTGGAGCTCAGTCAAGTCGCCTGCATCGGATGCTGCTCGGTGAAGATCGGACGGCTCTGGAACGTCGGTTTGAACGGGCGTGCTGGTCTGAACGGCCGTGCTGCCTTGAACGCGTGGGAGGTCAAAGGTGGGAATGCCGTGCTGCGAGGGAGTCGATGATAGGAGCAGGACGACTGCTGTGCTAATGAGGAGAGCCGTGACCGCAAGAGGCAGCCTGGGACGACGGGACGAGGAGGGGAGAGCAGGGAAGGGTAGGGAAGAGTAGGGAAAGGGGTAAGGAAGCTTGAACGAGCGTGCTGCTCTGAACGCGCGTGCTTCCGTCAACGGGCGTGCTGCCTTGACCTGCCTTGAACGCGTGGGAGGTCAAGGGTGGGAATGCTGTGCTGTGAGGGAGTCGATGATAGGAGCAGGACGACTGCTGTGCTAATGAGGAGAGCCGTGACTGCAATAGGCAGCCTGGGACGACGGGACGAGGAGGGGAGAGCAGGGAAGAGAAGGTAAGAGTAGATAATATTTTTGAGTAGAGACAAACTACGATGAATGCCGGCCTAATGAGGAGATCCTTGGCTAAGAGGCAACCTGAAACGGACGTAGGGAAGACAAGGAGAGACAAAATGCTGTTGTGTCATAACTGGTTAGGATATAAAACAGCTGCAGAAGGAAAGGTCAGGAAGTAGCAACGGTGGGAGAGAAGATGGGTGCGGGGAGGCATAGCGGATAAATTTGCGTTGGGGAATACTTGCGACGGTAGAGGAGACGGCAGGAAACGTCAGAACTTGGAGAATGTAGGGTTACATGAGTGCTACGAGGGGAATGAGACAAAGTTTTTTGGGGTGGGGGCAGCGTAACGGCGGCTAAGATAGAGAGCTGGAGTAAAAGCGTTCGGAATACGAAAGACGTTACCGAACCCGTAGGAACCGTCTTAGAATGTGCTCATTGAAGCTTGATAAAACATAGTTGCGTAAGTGGTGGAAGGATACCTCATAGCCGTTGCGAGATGGAGGAACCTAGGTGTCTCTTCATTCGGCTCGTAGGCCTATTTTGAACAAAATGAAAGCATATCTCAAATGAGCCCAGAAAAAATCGTCCTACGACCTAGTTCTAACAAAATGCAGGTATCTCTGTACCATTTCGCGGCTCGTCCGACGAACGACATCTCTGGCTGGTGACGTCCACGTGGCAGAAGCAGTTAATCAAGATTCCGCCATGAGCCTCCGAGGCTGGCGAAAAGTCAATGGGGTTACCCTGTCCTCGTGCTCTCTGTGCAACAATGCTCACTATTCTAAAAACGCAACGGTGACCAACTATCGTTTGGCAAACTCTCGAGTCTGTTGGGGTCTGTACAACGCACTGCTAACAGCTTGAGAGGATTTCTGGCTTCAAGGTAGTGAAAGCCGACTCTGAGCTTCGGAGACAAGTCATACGCGAAATGCCCGCACACAAGATAGCGCTACAGTAGCAGGAATCAGTACTATATTACCCAGTCCAAAGAAGGCTCGCGGTCACGGTACTTATACTGCTAGGTTTGACGACAGTGAAGAGGAAGGTGTATCGCAGAAGCGAAACTAGAAACGAAGGAAGGAACACGCCGAAACGATGCGTAGGAAGAGGAATGGATAATGGTGTGTCGCGTCGTGAAGGGTTACGTCACGGACTCACGGGCCTTCCAAGAGGACCACCTTCGCTGGAGTCGGCGGGGAATGAGCTGGATGAGTGGGAGAGAAAGATGAAATTTTTGAAAGCGCAGCTGAAAGATTGTGAAAGCGCAGCTGATCGTAGTGAAGCAAGGCAACTGCGAATGCCTCTTCCCGAGTACATAACGAGGGTTGGAGGCCATTTGGCCTCCACCCACATCTTCATTTCGGAACTTTTCAGTTCCGCTTCATTCTCGTCCAACCACTTCCGTTCACAACTTCTCTTAATTCTCACTCATGCTTAATTCCCACTCTAGAAGCACGGAGGCAACGCTAGGACAAGTGCTGCAGCAGCGTAACTTATACATTAGCTACTACGCGCGTCAACTGCGGAGGGTACAGCATTGCGCCCGCGATGCACTTGGCGTACGCGCAACTGAGAAAGAAGTGCGCATGAAGCAACGGCCACTGGCGCATCAGTGACGAAATCGCCACGTGCGCCAGTGGCGTGCGCTAGTGACGAAATCGTCACTTGCGCCAGTGGCGCTCGTGTCTGGCGAAATCCCCACTTGCGCCACTGGCGCGCGCGTGTGGCGAAATCGCCACTTGCGCCACTGGCGCGAGGGTGTGGCGAAATCGCCACTTGCGCCAGTGGCACGCGTCTGTGGCGAAATGGCCATTTGCACCAGTGGCGAAATCGCCATGGACGAAATGGCCAGTGGCACGGCAGTCAAGAAACTGCTACTGCCGCGCCTAAGGCGTTTGACTGGGCGTCAACCACCAACGATCCCAGTGGAGCACCCCATGTCACCTCACCAATTATTTCGTTGCATATAAATCGTTTCAACTTCTTTTCATTTTTTTTTTTCTTCTTCTTCTTCTTCTTCCAGTTCTAATTTTTACTCTCATTGCCTATAAATCTCGATACCCCCTTGACTCTCTTGATGGCAGAAAAACCGGAACAAGATGGAAAGCCGTTGATTGAAGTCGCGCGGAAAAATCGCAACGACGACGGGATCAACTGCACGCACATCGAAAGGAGGGGCCGGGAGCCGCCCCTAGGGGGGAAGGGACCGAGGGTTCGCAAGTTGGCCTGAGAGCCGCCCCCAGGGGGGGAAGGGACCGAGGGTCCCCAACGTTGGCCTGAGAGCCGCCCCCAGGGGGGGAAGGGGACCGAGGGTCCCCAAAGTTGGCCTGAGAGCCACCCCCCAGGGGGGGAAGGGGACCGAGGGTCCCCAAGTTGGCCTGAGAGCCGCCCCCAGGGGGGGAAGGGGACCGAGGGTCCCCAAGTTGGCCTGAGAGCCGCCCCCAGGGGGGAAGGGGACCGAGGGTCCCCAAAGTTGGCCTGAGAGCCGCCCCCAGGGGGGGAAGGGGACTGAGGGTCCCCAAGTTGGCCTGAGAGCCGCCCCCAGGGGGGGAAGGGGACCGAGGGTCCCCAAAGTTGGCCTGAGAGCCGCCCCCAGGGGGGGAAGGGGACCGGGGGTCCCCAAGTTGGCCTGAGAGCCGCCCCCAGGGGGGGAAGGGGACCGAGGTCCGTGAACTTCGATATTTGGCAAAAAAAAAAAAAAAAAAAAAATCTAAGTAAAGGTTCTAAGTATGCTGGCCAGAGGGCCACCTTCTTAGGGAGGGAGGATTTGCGGACCCGATGAGATGGGGAAAACCCCAGTTATTTTGTATGTGGATCCGTAGTATCATTGGCTATTATGTGTACAATATGATAATAGTGAAAAAAAAAGGAGCAATTTTGGTCCTAATCGGATGTTGAAGCCACAAACTATTTGACTGACTTTGGTAAGGTTGGTAGAGTGCAACTACCGTACCGGTAGTAAGGACATCTATGGGATCCTACTTTATCACGCACCTACACTGCACGACGAGGAAGGAGAGAGTGTCATGCAACCATTATTCACTAGTACGATGACTTGTTTCGTCACACATTCCGAACAATAGGGGGGAAAGTCAAACATGTACCGAATGTCAAGGTAATTTACCTTCCACTACCGGTAATCGTTACGCTTCGACAATATAATTGTTGACTGGAGCCACGAGACAACAGTAACATGGTGTGGCAGTGCAGCCAATGCACCTCTTGTCGCTTTTCTTGTGCAACCATCATATACGGTCCAAGATAGAGAGGAGCAACCGATGGGCCATGAGACGAGCAACCGATGGGCTAGGAGACCAGCAACCGATGGGCCACGAGAAAAAGCAACCGATGGGCCATGAGACAAGCAACCGATGGGCCACGATACGAGCAACCGATGGGCCACGAGACGAGCAACCGATGGGCCACGAGACGAGCGGCCGATGGCCCACCGATAGGCCAACGGGCCAGCAACCAATGGGCACGAGACGAACAGCCGATGGGCCACGATACGAGCAACCTATGCGCCAAGAGGCGTGCAACCGATGGGCCAAGAGACGAGCAACCGATGGGCCACGAGACGAGCAACCGATGGGCCACGAGACGAGCAACCGATGGGCCACGAGACGAGCAACCGATGGGCCACGAGACGAGCAACCGATGGGCCACGAGACGAGCAACCGATGGGCCACGAGACGAGCAACCGATGAGCCAAGAGAGTAGCAATTGATGGGTTAATGGACAAGCAACTAATAGCCCACGAGATGAGTAGCCGATGGGCGACGAGACGAGCAACTGATGTGCCACGAGACGAGCAACCGATAGGTCAAGAGACGAGCAACCGATGGGCCAAGAGACAAGCACCAGAAGGGCCAAGAGACGAGAAACCGATGGGCCAGTAACGCATGGCTGGAGGTTTTGTTATGCGACATTTTTCTTACAAACCCACACCCTTTCGGATCTCAACTTGATACAAATGATGCATACCGTACCGGTCCCGCAAGCATCATCTTTCAATATCAGCCACTTCCCTACGAACACACCTCATTCTGGGCCCCCCTTAGTTCCTCAAGCTAAAGATCTCGTACTCGGTGCCAATCGCAAATATGAAAGTCTCAAACTAAAGCATTGATTTTTTATAACACGTCACTAGTCCAAGACCCTACACCGCGTCATCGACCAAACAACATCAAAAATCGCGGCTCCAGTCTACGCGCAACACTGGGAGCTTCATCACTGATACATGGGCCGTCTTCAACAACCATCTTCTCCACCGCGCATGCCAGCATAACAAACATTCTAAACCACGGGCCCCCTCTCCACCAACAACGATGGGCACATACATCTACCAAAGGAGGGAGCAACTCGCATAACCACGTCGACAGGGAATGCAACGACCTGCACCGACAACTGATATCACTGGACATCGCCATCAACCGGCTTCGCGATCTACACTCAGCCTACGCACGCACATGTCTCAGAAGACCCAATTAAAATGAAGCACGTTGCCTTGCAATAATCAGAAAGCAAGCTTTCTCAATATGATTTTTTTTGAAAGTGTGAAAACACTTTCTAAAAATAAAGATTGTGAAAGCGCAGCTGATCGTAGTGAAGCAAGGCAACTGCGAATGCCTCTTCCCGAGTACATAACGAGGGTTGGAGGCCATTTGGCCTCCACCCACGTCTTCATTTCGGAACTTTTCAGTTCCGCTTCCCCCCCGCCCACCCCTAGTTGATGTTTATGTAATGTGTGAGTTGGACGAGAATGTTGTAATTACCCAATTAAAATGAAGCACGTTGCCTTGCAATAATCAGAAAGCAAGCTTTCTCAATCTAGCAAATTGAAATGGGTGAAGAAGGCCCAGTCTGATGCATTGCACACTGACCGAACCATGGCGTCGACTGTTCATGGATATGCTTGAAGGCCGTGCAGCCGTGCTGTCTGTGCAATGTGGTACAATTATTGCCAGCCAGCCAGCGAAGGTGAATGCGAAGGTAAAGGTGACGTTGACGCGCGTTGTGCGAATCAACCAACCGACCGACCGAAACCATGTCTTCTCTCGTTCCCTCTCGTTTTTCCTGTTGGTGATTCCAGGATGTGCTAAAAAAACCCTACACAACATTAATCCAACCGCTCTGAAACAAAACGTATCTTACCAAACCTCTAAGTTGTCTCTTGTGGCACATGATTACAGCAGGCATTTTCTGATTCTGCCCTGATTTCATTCAGGGTGGGCGAGCCCGCGACAACACCGATCTGATTCGCCACCTTCACTGTGCCAGCCTGACGATTTTTGCGAAGGACCTTCGCGAATTCACATGCAACGCCGCCACCCAAAACCCCACCCACCTACCCCAGGTGGTAATGTATCTTCCATTCGTACACTGTAGCAAATCCACACCGCCAGACCCATACAGTTCCACGCGAAGGACAAGAACACGTATTTTCTTTACATTTCTTCTATGTAAGCGACAAACCAGTTTGACTACACTAGAAAGATTATGGAGGTTATGTGTACCACAAACAATGTGCTGCTCTTGCTCTTTATTACTATCACATGTAAAGGTCACATTGCTACTACCAGCAAAACGAGCAGGTTGTGATATGAGCGCATAGAGTACAGGTAGTAGTGATACCTTCATAACATAGCGAATAGAATTTGAGGGGGATTGGAGCACGAAAAGAATTGCCTATATTTTTTTCCAGCCACCCGCTGCTCCTTGCTCAGCGTTACTGTATCTCATAGACAACAGTAATAAAAAGTTTAATCATCCTGCGCATCATCATCTTCATTGTCATCGCTGCCATCGCTGCATGTAAAACACCGAAGCAACATAGTATAGATCATGAGCGGTCAAGATAAGCTCAGAATACCCACGAAAAACATAATAACGAGAGGACGGCATAGCTGGAGACACAAACAAGCCTCAGTTGACAGGAAAGGAATAGAAGGAAAAATAGTTACCTGACAACGGGCATCTTTGCAATGCGGCGAGACTCGAGCCCTGTGAGATACTTCTGTGCTGCTGTCACCTAGTCCGGGCCTGGTCAGTCAGAGAATACAGACAGCAGCAGGTAGGAAAGACGATGTATCAGTTGCAACGTGGGAGAATGTGAGGAACAATCAAGGCTAGGCTGGACATACACCGCACTGAGCTGGAACTCACCCTTGCTGAGCTGGAAGGCGTGCAGGATGGTTCGCTCTGCAGCCATCCTCACAGGCTGACTCGTGTCCTTGAGGCACTCGGACAGCGGCGGGCCCAGTGCTGCCATGAGCTTCGCAGGGATGGGCTCCTGTGGTGCAGCAGAGGTGGGTGGGTGGGTGGGGAAGTGTGGGGAAAGCGGAATGAGGAGGGCACACAGGCTGACTCGTGACCCTGAGGCACTCGGACAGCGGCGGGCCCAGTGAGGCCAGGAGCTTCGCAGGGATGGGCTCCTGTAGTCACATCACAAAGGGGAATGGGTGGAGGAGAGGGGTGAGGAAGGCACAGGCTGACTCGTGTACTTGAGGCACTCGGACAGGGGTGGGACTAGTACCGCCATGAGCTTTGCAGGGATGGGCTCCTAGAGTCACAGCCAAAACAAAGAGGAATGGGTGGAGGAGAGGGGTGAGGAAGGCACACAGGGTGACTCGTGTACTTGAGGCACTCGGACAGGGGCGGGCCCAGTGCTGCCAGGAGCTTCGCAGGGATGGGCTCCTGTAGTTGTGGAATGATGGTGGGAGGGAAAGATGCAAATCAAACACATTAGAATAACGTTCCAATTGAGTGAGAATAACAATGACCATGTTGACCCCCGAAACATGTTGATGCGGAACATCTTGACTTCCTTGACCCCATTGACACCGTTGACTGTATTGACCCACTCACCTTCTTGGCAACCATCTTCACAGCAGAGCGTGCCTTCCTCCGCACGTCACTAGCAGCAGGAAGTAAGAGAGTACTGTCCGCGCAAGTTGACCCCGTTGACCCCTTTGACCCCATTAACCCACTCACCTTCTTGGCAACCATCTTAACAGCAGAGCGCGCCCTCCTCCGCACGTCACTAGCAGCAGGAAGTAAGAAAGGAGTCGTCCTAGCAACTTGACCCCTTTGACCCCATTGACCCACCTTCTTGGCAACCATCTTCACAGCAGACAGCGCCTTCCTCCGCACGTCACTAGCAGCATCCCCAAGCAGCGAAGCCAGCACCGACACCACCCCCCCCGCACTCCCCCCGCCCATCCCAAACAGCATCAGCCATCTCCCCGCCTCCTTAGCCGCGGTCTCCCGCACCGGCACCTTATCATCCCCTGCATGTGCTCTTATCGCCGCTGCTGACTTTTCGGCTACAGATGTGAGCTGGGATGCTGGCAGGGGTGCGGGACGGGAGGCGGTGTGGCGGAGGAGGGAGGAGAGCGCGAGGGCAGCTGCGAGGCGGTGCGACCAGGGGCGGGAGGAGGGGAGGGGGGCAGCGAGAGCGGCGAGGAGGCAGAGGTAGTCGGGCTCCGATAGGTACTGGAAGGGGTGGGGGGCAGGAGGGGATAGGGGTATGGGGGGAAGAGAGAGAAAAAAGAATAAGGTCAATTTTCTGTATGGAACCTACGAAACCTCATCTCAGCTGCTCTCTGGGTGTCTCTGTCTCTAAATGATAGTAGCTGGGAGGTTGAGGTCGAGAGGCGGTGTGGCGGAGGAGGGAGGAGAGCGCGAGGGCGGCTGCGAGGCAGTGCGACCAGGGACGGGAGGAGGGGAGAGGGGCGGCGAGGGCGGCGAGGAGAGAGAGGTAGTCTGGCTCCGATAGGTACTGTTGGGGGTGTGGGGGAGGGGGAAATAGGAAAATTTTGGAGTATGGTAAATGAGAGAGAGAGGACATCCTCCACACGCTGGAGGGGTAGAGGGTCACTCAGGGGGGAGGAGGGTCAGAGGGATGGGTCAATGGGTCAGAGGGTCTAAGGGAGCCACGAGTCAAACCGTATGTTTGTACCCCCGCTGAATTAATACAAAGGACCATTTGAGAGAGGAGGGGCCAATTTCCTGCATGGAGCCTCATCACAAGTGCTCTCTCTAGGTGCTTGTGCTTCCAGTCCGATGGCAGTAGCTGGGAGGAGAGAGCGAGGGCGGCAGCGAGGCGGTGTGACCAGGGCCGGGAGGATGGGAGAGGGGTTGCGAGGGCGGAGAGGAGAGTGAGGTAGTCGGGTTCAGATAGGTACTGTTGGGGGTGTGGGGGAATGGGGTGGGAGGGAGGGGGGAGGAGAGATTTTGACACGTCTCAGGGGCGGTGCTGTGAGCTATGCTTTGTGTACACGCAATTGCTCAACAAATTATTAAAATTCATTTTAAAGGCACCCTCTCACCTGTGCACTGTCTCCCAGAGCTTCCGCTCTCCCTTTCTCTCACCTGCGCATTACCCCCCAGGGCCCTGGCTGCAACGGAGCGAACAACAGAATCATCGTCGCTGTCAGAGGCGAACAACACCGCCTGCAGCGATGAGGAGAGGAGCTCCAGAGACGCGGGGGAGATGAACCTCACCCCCCCCTTCTGCCTCCTCTCTCTCCCTTCCTCTCACCTGCGCAGTGCCCCCAAGAGCCCTAGCGGCAACGGAGCGAACAACAGAGTCGTCGTCGCTGTCAGAGGCGAACAGCACCGCCTGGAGGGATGAGGAGAGGCGCTCCAGAGACGCAGGAGAGGCCGCCTTGCCTCCGTGCCTCACCACCCCTCGGATTGCCATCGGCATCGACTCCTTCACTGCACCATCCGCACTCTGTAAGAGGGGAGAGGTAAAGGGGGAGTTTGTGTGTGCGTGTGTGTTGAGGCGGACCAGTGCCCACTACAGGGATCACAGGGAGTACAGAGATCGTCATGCCTTGCCTCCGTGCCTCACCACTCCACGGATGGCCATCAGCATCGACTCCTTCACTGCACCGTCCGCAGTCTGTGAGGGGAAGAGGGGAGGGGGGCGGAAGGAGGCACAATACTCACTACAGGGATCACCCAGCCTTGCCTCCGTACCTCACCACTCCGCGGATGGCCATCGCCATCGACTCCTTCACTGCACCGTCTGTGTTCTGTAAGGGAGGAGATGGGGAGGAGGGGCGGATGGGGTTGTGTGTGTTGAGGCTCACTACTCACTGTAGGGTTCACTATCTGCTGACCTGGACTAAGTGCTGACCTGGACAGAGTGCTGACCTGGACAGAGTGCTGACCTGGACAGAGGGCTGACCTGGACAGAGGGCTGACCTGGACAGAGTGCTGAACTGGACAGAGCACTGACCTGGATGGAGTTGAGGAGGTCGGAGATGAGGGCATCCACTCTCGGGTTGAGTGCTGTCAGCCTCCCCAACGCCTTGGCTGCCCGCGAGCGCACCGTGCTGGGGTAGGAAGGGGGGGAGAGGGAAGGTGGGGTGAGAGGGTATGGTGTGAGGTTGAGGGGAAGTAGCTGGACAGCTGTCAACTGCACCAACTACTCTCGGGTTGAGCGCCGTCAGCCTCCCCAACGCCTTGGCTGCCCGCGAGCGCACCATGCTGGGGTGGGAGGGGGGGGAGGGGGCAGAGACAGGGGGAATGGGTGGGGTGTGTGAGGTGGAGCGGAAGGAGATGGGAAGCTGTCAGCCGCCCCAACGCCTTGGCTGCTCGCGATCGCACCGTTCTGGGGAGATGAGTGGGGGGATGGGGGGTAAGTATAGACGAGCTTTAGGAAAGGAGGGAGATTCATAATGGTTAGTGGGAGTCTGACTTTTGAGTCGACTCAAAAGGAGTCTTCCTGGCAGCAGATGAAAGTAGTGCGCAGGTGCAGCTGCAGCAGATGAAAGTAGTGCGCAGGTGCAGCTGCAGCAGATGAAAGTAGTGCGCAGGTGCAGCTGCAGCAGATGAAAGTAGTGCGCAGGTGCAGCTGCAGCAGATGAAAGTAGTGCGCAGGTGCAGCTGCAGCAGATGAAAGTAGTGCGCAGGTGCAGCTGCAGCAGATGAAAGTAGTGCGCAGGTGCAGCTGCAGCAGATGAAAGTAGTGCGCAGGTGCAGCTGCAGCAGATGAAAGTAGTGCGCAGCTGCAGCTGCAGCAGATGAAATTAGTGCGCAGCTGCAGCTGCAGCAGATGAAAGTAGTGCGCAGGTGCAGCTGCAGCAGATGAAAGTAGTGCGCAGGTGCAGCTGCAGCAGATGAAAGTAGTGCGCAGGTGCAGCTGCAGCAGATGAAAGTAGTGCGCAGGTGCAGCTGCAGCAGATGAAAGTAGTGCGCAGGTGCAGCTGCAGCAGATGAAAGTAGTGCGCAGGTGCAGCTGCAGCAGATGAAAGTAGTGCGCAGGTGCAGCTGCAGCAGATGAAAGTAGTGCGCAGGTGCAGCTGCAGCAGATGAAAGTAGTGCGCAGGTGCAGCTGCAGCAGATGAAAGTAGTGCGCAGGTGCAGCTGCAGCAGATGAAAGTAGTGCGCAGGTGCAGCTGCAGCAGATGAAAGTAGTGCGCAGGTGCAGCTGCAGCAGATGAAAGTAGTGCGCAGGTGCAGTTGCAGCAGATGAAAGTAGTGCGCAGGTGCAGCTGCAGCAGATGAAAGTAGTGCGCAGGTGCAGCTGCAGCAGATGAAAGTAGTGCGCAGGTGCAGCTGCAGCAGATGAAAGTAGTGCGCAGGTGCAGCTGCAGCAGATGAAAGTAGTGCGCAGGTGCAGCTGCAGCAGATGAAAGTAGTGCGCAGGTGCAGCTGCAGCAGATGAAAGTAGTGCGCAGGTGCAGCTGCAGCAGATGAAAGTAGTGCCCAGGTGCAGCTGCAGCAGATGAAAGTAGTGCGCAGGTGCAGCTGCAGAAGATGAAAGTAGTGCGCAGGTGCAGCTGCAGCAGATGAAAGTAGTGCGCAGGTGCAGCTGCAGCAGATGAAAGTAGTGCGCAGGTGCAGCTGCAGCAGATGCAAGTAGTGCGCAGGTGCAGCTGCAGCAGATGAAAGTAGTGCGCAGGTGCAGCTGCAGCAGATGAAAGTAGTGCGCAGGTGCAGCTGCAGCAGATGAAAGTAGTGCGCAGCTGCAGCTGCAGCAGATGAAAGTAGTGCGCAGGTGCAGCTGCAGCAGATGAAAGTAGTGCGCAGGTGCAGCTGCAGCAGATGAAAGTAGTGCGCAGGTGCAGCTGCAGCAGATGAAAGTAGTGCGCAGGTGCAGCTGCAGCAGATGAAAGTAGTGCGCAGGTGCAGCTGCAGCAGATGAAAGTAGTGCGCAGGTGCAGCTGCAGCAGATGAAAGTAGTGCGCAGGTGCAGCTGCAGCAGATGAAAGTAGTGCGCAGGTGCAGCTGCAGCAGATGAAAGTAGTGCGCAGGTGCAGCTGCAGCAGATGAAAGTAGTGCGCAGGTGCAGCTGCAGCAGATGAAAGTAGTGCGCAGGTGCAGCTGCAGCAGATGAAAGTAGTGCGCAGGTGCAGCTGCAGCAGATGAAAGTAGTGCGCAGGTGCAGCTGCAGCAGATGAAAGTAGTGCGCAGGTGCAGCTGCAGCAGATGAAAGTAGTGCGCAGGTGCAGCTGCAGCAGATGAAAGTAGTGCGCAGGTGCAGCTGCAGCAGATGAAAGTAGTGCGCAGGTGCAGCTGCAGCAGATGAAAGTAGTGCGCAGGTGCAGCTGCAGCAGATGAAAGTAGTGCGCAGGTGCAGCTGCAGCAGATGAAAGTAGTGCGCAGGTGCAGCTGCAGCAGATGAAAGTAGTGCGCAGGTGCAGCTGCAGCAGATGAAAGTAGTGCGCAGGTGCAGCTGCAGCAGATGAAAGTAGTGCGCAGGTGCAGCTGCAGCAGATGAAAGTAGTGCGCAGGTGCAGCTGCAGCAGATGAAAGTAGTGCGCAGGTGCAGCTGCATCAGATGAAAGTAGTGCGCAGGTGCAGCTGCAGCAGATGAAAGTAGTGCGCAGGTGCAGCTGCAGCAGATGAAAGTAGTGCGCAGGTGCAGCTGCAGCAGATGAAAGTAGTGCGCAGGTGCAGCTGCAGCAGATGAAAGTAGTGCGCAGGTGCAGCTGCAGCAGATGAAAGTAGTGCGCAGGTGCAGCTGCAGCAGATGAAAGTAGTGCGCAGGTGCAGCTGCAGCAGATGAAAGTAGTGCGCAGGTGCAGCTGCAGCAGATGAAAGTAGTGCGCAGGTGCAGCTGCAGCAGATGAAAGTAGTGCCCAGGTGCAGCTGCAGCAGATGAAAGTAGTGCGCAGGTGCAGCTGCAGCAGATGAAAGTAGTGCGCAGCTGCAGCTGCAGCAGATGAAAGTAGTGCGCAGGTGCAGCTGCAGCAGATGAAAGTAGTGCGCAGGTGCAGCTGCAGCAGATGAAAGTAGTGCGCAGGTGCAGCTGCAGCAGATGAAAGTAGTGCGCAGGTGCAGCTGCAGCAGATGAAAGTAGTGCGCAGGTGCAGCTGCAGCAGATGAAAGTAGTGCGCAGGTGCAGCTGCAGCAGATGAAAGTAGTGCGCAGGTGCAGCTGCAGCAGATGAAAGTAGTGCACAGGTGCAGCTGCAGCAGATGAAAGTAGTGCGCAGCTGCAGCTGCAGCAGATGAAAGTAGTGCGCAGGTGCAGCTGCAGCAGATGAAAGTAGTGCGCAGGTGCAGCTGCAGCAGATGAAAGTAGTGCGCAGGCTGCAGCTGCAGCAGATGAAAGTAGTGCGCAGGTGCAGCTGCAGCAGATGAAAGTAGTGCGCAGGTGCAGCTGCAGCAGATGAAAGTAGTGCGCAGCTGCAGCTGCAGCAGATGAAAGTAGTGCGCAGGTGCAGCTGCAGCAGATGAAAGTAGTGCGCAGGTGCAGCTGCAGCAGATGAAAGTAGTGCGCAGGTGCAGCTGCAGCAGATGAAAGTAGTGCGCAGGTGCAGCTGCAGCAGATGAAAGTAGTGCGCAGGTGCAGCTGCAGCAGATGAAAGTAGTGCGCAGGTGCAGCTGCAGCAGATGAAAGTAGTGCGCAGGTGCAGCTGCAGCAGATGAAAGTAGTGCGCAGGTGCAGCTGCAGCAGATGAAAGTAGTGCGCAGGTGCAGCTGCAGCAGATGAAAGTAGTGCGCAGGTGCAGCTGCAGCAGATGAAAGTAGTGCGCAGGTGCAGCTGCAGCAGATGAAAGTAGTGCGCAGGTGCAGCTGCAGCAGATGAAAGTAGTGCGCAGGTGCAGCTGCAGCAGATGAAAGTAGTGCGCAGGTGCAGCTGCAGCAGATGAAAGTAGTGCGCAGGTGCAGCTGCAGCAGATGAAAGTAGTGCGCAGGTGCAGCTGCAGCAGATGAAAGTAGTGCGCAGGTGCAGCTGCAGCAGATGAAAGTAGTGCGCAGGTGCAGCTGCAGCAGATGCAAGTAGTGCGCAGGTGCAGCTGCAGCAGATGAAAGTAGTGCGCAGGTGCAGCTGCAGCAGATGAAAGTAGTGCGCAGGTGCAGCTGCAGCAGATGAAAGTAGTGCGCAGCTGCAGCTGCAGCAGATGAAAGTAGTGCGCAGGTGCAGCTGCAGCAGATGAAAGTAGTGCGCAGGTGCAGCTGCAGCAGATGAAAGTAGTGCGCAGGTGCAGCTGCAGCAGATGAAAGTAGTGCGCAGGTGCAGCTGCAGCAGATGAAAGTAGTGCGCAGGTGCAGCTGCAGCAGATGAAAGTAGTGCGCAGGTGCAGCTGCAGCAGATGAAAGTAGTGCGCAGGTGCAGCTGCAGCAGATGAAAGTAGTGCGCAGGTGCAGCTGCAGCAGATGAAAGTAGTGCGCAGGTGCAGCTGCAGCAGATGAAAGTAGTGCGCAGGTGCAGCTGCAGCAGATGAAAGTAGTGCGCAGGTGCAGCTGCAGCAGATGAAAGTAGTGCGCAGGTGCAGCTGCAGCAGATGAAAGTAGTGCGCAGGTGCAGCTGCAGCAGATGAAAGTAGTGCGCAGGTGCAGCTGCAGCAGATGAAAGTAGTGCGCAGGTGCAGCTGCAGCAGATGAAAGTAGTGCGCAGGTGCAGCTGCAGCAGATGAAAGTAGTGCGCAGGTGCAGCTGCAGCAGATGAAAGTAGTGCGCAGGTGCAGCTGCAGCAGATGAAAGTAGTGCGCAGGTGCAGCTGCAGCAGATGAAAGTAGTGCGCAGGTGCAGCTGCAGCAGATGAAAGTAGTGCGCAGGTGCAGCTGCAGCAGATGAAAGTAGTGCGCAGGTGCAGCTGCAGCAGATGAAAGTAGTGCGCAGGTGCAGCTGCAGCAGATGAAAGTAGTGCGCAGGTGCAGCTGCAGCAGATGAAAGTAGTGCGCAGGTGCAGCTGCAGCAGATGAAAGTAGTGCGCAGGTGCAGCTGCAGCAGATGAAAGTAGTGCGCAGGTGCAGCTGCAGCAGATGAAAGTAGTGCGCAGGTGCAGCTGCAGCAGATGAAAGTAGTGCGCAGGTGCAGCTGCAGCAGATGAAAGTAGTGCGCAGGTGCAGCTGCAGCAGATGAAAGTAGTGCGCAGGTGCAGCTGCAGCAGATGAAAGTAGTGCGCAGGTGCAGCTGCAGCAGATGAAAGTAGTGCCCAGGTGCAGCTGCAGCAGATGAAAGTAGTGCGCAGGTGCAGCTGCAGCAGATGAAAGTAGTGCGCAGGTGCAGCTGCAGCAGATGAAAGTAGTGCGCAGGTGCAGCTGCAGCAGATGAAAGTAGTGCGCAGGTGCAGCTGCAGCAGATGAAAGTAGTGCGCAGGTGCAGCTGCAGCAGATGAAAGTAGTGCGCAGGTGCAGCTGCAGCAGATGAAAGTAGTGCGCAGGTGCAGCTGCAGCAGATGAAAGTAGTGCGCAGGTGCAGCTGCAGCAGATGAAAGTAGTGC